GACAAATTTAATCATTGTATATGGACATTTGATGCAAGAATTGGCATGTCTTTTAAAATGACCAACAACATTTCTTTTACAGAAATTACAAGTCTTGTGATTTTGTAATATATGTGATTTTAAAGCCACATTATTATCACAGATTAAATTGCAAACTTTGCACAGTTTTACCTTCATTTGATGAATTACCTTGTAGTGGCGAATCAGGTTACTTTTGGTGGAGAGCAACACGGAGCAGTGTTGACAGGTGGGCCTCATGGTCCAGAATGAAATATCACCCGAATGTCACTTCTATTTATAGACTTTTCAAAATTTCAAAATTTTTTAACCAGAAATTGTGAAATTTTCAAAATTTTTAGCTAGAAATTAAAAAAAATTAAACAATTTAACTAGAAATTACTTCAACAGGAGGTCACCCACCCAAGGCTTAATCAAGAGCTACCACTAGAGACGAGAAAACCGACCATAAGTCGGGAGCGAGAAGCCTGACCATAGGTCGGGAGCACGACCGGGAGCGCGCCCAAGTTCACATACAAACCTCACATGATTTTGAGAATATACATGTGAATAGATATGGATTTGAAATAGTAATGGAGTTGTACAATGGTATTGAACATTTATATAGGCTTGTATTGGCCAAGAGCTGGATTTTTAAAAAAGTGGTCAAAAAAAGCTCACCATGTTATTGTTATGGGGAAAACGTGCCTAAAGTGGGGTCATATTGCTATATTATATCTACTCTACATTTACACTTGTAAGGGTAAATAAATATAAGAAATAGCTTTTTTAGCTTGATATCGAATATATTTATGGGGAATAAGTAAGAAATAAGGTTTAACAATTTTATAGGGATATTTAGGCAAAGATCAGGATTTTTGGTTTTGGTGGCCAAAAAATGATCCCCATGTTATTCTTATGGGAAAAAACGCCTAAAGTGACTTATCTTTCTGGGTTCACCACTACTTAAATTAAATATTATATTGAGTGTAAATTGTAGCCTATTCATATAAACTTAGTTACACCAACAGCTAGTTCATTTATCAAAATACTACTTTAAAATAGTTTAATTATTGCAGCTCACTCTTCCAGAACAGGCTGTAGGTTTATATTTACTCAAATAGATACATTTATTGTGAAATGAGGTTCAAACAATAAATTATAACTAGAATTACTAGAATTTAAGCATAACTCTTTCCTCGGCGTTATGTTTCATGTAGTAAATATTTCATTTTAACCAAGTAAGTAAATGTTTGTAGCAAACTTATTGACTGTTTTAAATTAACATATGTCCTTCTTCTCACTTTTAATTTCTAACAACAGCTGGAGTTTCATAACAATGTTTCCCATGTTAATCTTATGGAGAAATACGAAACTTTAAAGGGCCCCAGGGCAAATATCTAATATTATTTCCCTGAAAAAGGGTTCATGCACAACTTCACGTTACGCTAATTCCAATGACACTAAAAACATGTCAATCGGTTCAGTAGCTTAGGAGGAGTAATTGTCACAAAAAACCTGTTTGCATATTAAATAAGTAAATAGATAGATATTATGTAATAGGCCTAGTTGTATAGTTCCATTCATAATTCATAGGAATTTTAACATTTAAATAGTTTTTCATAAGAAAACCTTGAATTCTATTTTAAATTCAGTCGGATGAATTCGTCCTACCCAAATTTGTATTTCGCCAAGTTTTCTGTCTCAGCACCTCCAAGTTTCTCCCCAATCTCCTAGACTCCTGAGGCACCTCCCTTCCATCTTGTTGAGTTTATAGTTGATAGTACAATCTATCAGTTGGATCGCCGTTGTCCAGTAGTCAGCTGTAATACATCTGTTTCCCGTTCAGTTGGCAGCTGTTTTTCTCAGCTGGTGTCGCATCTGTACTTCAACTGTTCACTCGCACATTGCCGTATAACGGAAACCTTTTGTTCACCCCCCGTCCGCCAACCTAATTATATTGGAATTGGGGTGATCGTATACATGCGGGTTACGTGGAGGAAAAATGAATACTAAATGTGGTAAACAGGGGAATTGATAATCTTGTATGATTGTGCAACACTAATTTTTAGGATCGAAGCAAAAATTTTAAAAGTATTGTATTTATTAAAGCAAAAATGTTGTGTATTCTGTAACTTTTTGTTAATTAAATAATAATATTTATTGTTGACTAGCTATTACCCAAGGGCTTCACCCCGTTTTGACTTCATAAGTATTAATTAAAACTATTGATTGGTTAAGTTAACCTGAAATAAACAAAAGTAATACAGTAATACAAAGAAATAATCACAACTGATTTGAATAAGGTGATAAATTGAAAGAATAACATACAAATAAGTACAGCTGAGGTATTTATTAGGTATACGGAAAGTTCCCTTCAGAAAGGAGTTACGACCTTAAAGGGAAATTTATGAAAATGGATAGTTTTGCGCAATATATCTCGTCATGACGAACATTTTAAGTATGTGGTTTATGGGGGTGTGATTTTTTATTTTTCTCAAAAGTTCATGGGTATTTTGGGGCTTATATATGGATGACTACGTGATTGTTATTTCCTCAATGCTATTTTGTATTAATGTTATCCAGGTGTTCAATAAAATAGTCAAGTAATTGTTCAATCGATTTGTCTGTTAGTTTACCAGCTGTGAATAATAAGTCTGTATGTAAACAACTAGGCCTATAAAAAAAATATAAAATTACTTAGCATTAGTTGCTCTGTCCATGCTTCGCTTTAGGGGTGAGAATACACCACAAGAGAATAATGCAGATTTCCAAACGCAGTGTAAGAAACAGTTACACATTTACAGGGATTATAGAGGCAAAATTCTATATAACTTATTGCATATTTTAATGAAGATCTCTTACATATATGCAATATGCTGTGTGGATGAATCAAAACCAATAACTTTTTCGTAATGTAAACATAGGTAATCTATGAGCCAAAAGGAGCACTCAAGGAAAAAGTTAACTGTCACCCTCCTTAATTATTGATAATTTTTGTTCTTTATTTATTAATCTTTGTTGTGAATTTTTTTTGTAAAATAGTGGAATCGTTAAAATAAATAAATTAATTCATTAACTGTAAATTACTAAAAAAACCTAATGTAATTTTTTAAATGTTATTAAATGCAATAATTTTACTAAGACTCGTATTAGGAGAGGATACAATTTTCCCAATCGTTCAAGTTCCTTATCAGCTTTATACTTGTTATATATATATTATTTATATAATATATATATTATTCATTTATAATTATTATATCTATTCGAATTGTTATTATAATAGATGCAAGCTCGTGCATAGATAGATGGTGAATCTTGTATTTTAAAAATATTTCACTTATCTATATATTATTGAGTTTTAGTATAGTTAGTGCGTAAGCATTGCAAAAACATAGGGAATATCCTCACTTGATGCACCTTTGTCATGTTATGGAATTCAGACCACTTAAGTTTGACAAATCTACGAGATGACCTCTGAGATGTCTCTGATAAGAGCGGAGGTGAAAGGTCAGTTGATAAGACTGTCAGACTGGAGGCTTATCAGATACTGCAGCTGGGAACTGACTCATTATGGATTATCACTGAGTCAATATGGTCATCGTCTTATCGTTATGTCTTGGTCTAAAGATAGCGGACGAGGACTAACGATTTTCAAATAACACTTGAAAAGTTTGGGAGAAGTTTGTTAATAAAAATGTTTAAGATGTGCTGCATCTAAGCTTTGATAAATTATTAGAAAGAAATTCTGTGTTTACCTCCAGTTTCGTATACAATACTATATACTACTTTTAATCATAGATTAATCAGATGTTTTATCTATACTCATTGTTGTGGTTTGCTCCTGAGCTGCAGCTGGTAAGACAAATATTATTAGTGGTTTATTTACCTTGTTTATCTATGTTTTAATACAGTACTATATTTACGCACTATTATGTTAAATGGGCCAACAGAAAAATTTAAATATGATTTTTGCTATCTGTGTAGTATTTGTATAAACAGTTGACAGCAACTCATCATTTAGGAGTTATGGTAAGGGCAACAGATAAATTTAAATATGATTTTTGCTATCTGTGTAGTATTTGTATAAACAGTTGACAGCAACACATCATTTAGGAGTTATGGTAAGTTTTAGCATCAACATAATTTTCGATCAATGTATTCATTGAGATGTGGATGAATAATTTACATTTTATAATTTGGATCATTTATAAATAGATTTACATCCACAACCTTAATCAATCAAGCAAATTCTTCCAATCAATGATACGGAAATTATTATGATACGGAAATATTAATCAGACGTCAAGGGATTTTGAAGTTTAACAGTTCAAATTGTGTTTGCTATAGGACTGTTAGTTGTTAATTAGATTTCAACTATTGATATACTATTTGCAGGTACATAATTAATTATTCACATTTAAACTAAATTGTATTTTGTTTTATTTGTGTTTTGAATTGTAATCGTTAAATTATTTTACAATATCACTATTGATTATATTATTAAGGAAATTGTTTGAAAAATACTATGAATAAACATGTTTTTGTAGTTCCTCAACTATTTAGTTATCAGTACCAAAGTCTTTAATAGCAATAAATACATGTAACAAAAAATGAACATATTTAACAATACTTGTTTTTAAACAGAAATCAACCATGAATAGAGATGTTCGCAAAACTGTTTTTATCGATCATGAAGATTATTTGTTTAACTTAAATTGTTTTGATTCATGAATTGTTAAACGTTATAAAGGTTACAAACGTAAACAACTCATTTCCAAAACGTCTGTTGACGCGCGTACAATAAAGTCGAACAATTCCCAACCGAACCACCTCCAGCCTAAATTAGACATTGAAGGGACTCAAGGTATAAATCACGGGTGTTCACACGGGCGGCTTCTCCCAAACACATAACAAGAAGGATCATTTACTGAGGACGACACACACAGGTGTTCGGGGGCGGAGCCTAGCAGTGGTGGGGGGAGGGTATATAACCCGGCGCTAGAGTGGGGAGCGGCATTGCTACCCGCGACGCCGCTCAGTTCAGTCGAGTGTAGTGAGTGTGTGAGTGAAGTGAATCATGAAGTCTGTCAGCCCTACGCCCGTCATCCCCAGTGGAGTACAATCAGGCAGAGTTCATAGACAACGGAAAGACATAGAGAACGAAGAGATACAGATGTACCTCTCCAAGCTGAAGGATCTGGTACCCTTCATGCCGAAGAACAGGAAGTTATCGAAACTGGAGGTTATCCAGTATGTGATCGACTATATTTGTGAGCTGCAGTACGCCCTGGATACTCATCCTACGGTCAACTCGGCGGTGGTGCAGGCCTCGGCGGCGGCCCTCATCAGGCAAGCGTCTCCTGTCCAAGGGACGGCGCCCCAGACGTCGCCGAGACAACCCCTGGGCGTCCTGGCGCCGAACACCATCCTGGCGTCGCCCGCACCCTGTACCACACCTGAGGCTATCACGACGGTAAGTTCACAATTTGGTTAATATAATTTGTAGACAATTGTTTCCCGGTGCTTTGGTCCTGAAACTCATAAATACCTATAGGCTACTTGAAAGTTTATAGATCACCAGATTTTTCATACACTTTCTTTTCATACACATTCAATAAAACGTACATTCAAAAACACTAAAATGTATTCTCATATAGGCTAAATTAATTATTTTATGACTACTGATTTATTGCGTGAATACATAACAATCACTTAAAACAAGTGTTCCGTTTTTATATTAGAATAGTTCCAATATACTTGAAGAAAATGTATATTCCAGTTAAGCTCTTTTTGGTTAAATTTCTCGGACAAATATTCAATGATTACAATCACGAAGACTAACTTAAAGATGAAATATTTGTATGTGTAGTTGTGTTAATACACTGTATAGACCTTCATAGGCTAAGTATTATTTGTCTCATAAACATTCTATATCTAAAGATAATAAAATTAACAACACTAATGATCAATTTTAGGGTGTACTTTTATCTCAATTCAATTTTTAATATACCGGTACGTCTTAACAATTGATCGGTTAATACACAATCCAACTCATAATTTGAGATAAAACAATCACTGCATTATTTAAGCCTATTTTGTGATCAAAATATTTATTCCATAAACACAATAGCGACAAAAAAAACACACAACAGTTCACAAACCCCACATTCCCGTTGTCCGCTGGTCCATTCCCTCCTCCCATTTCCCACGGACCCAGCACAGCTGACAGCTGGCGCAATTCGTGTAATTGAGCCCAACTTTCGTCAGGTGTCAAATTGCCGACTGTCCCAACCTTGGTTTCAACACAGCTGTGCGTGTAGTTCATTGCTTTCGAGAAATTTGTAATCTAAAAGGGTTTGATCTACTTATTTCGCTGTAGTTTACCAACTTACGGTACAGAATTAGTTATCGTCAATGATAAATTAAATTGGTCATCAGCGTTATACTGTTTGGCTGCAAAGTTAATCAATTATTCCTCAAAGAGGTCAACTGCAAGTCAGAATTGCTCAAACTATTTAGTTAGGAATGTAAGAACTAGTAGTTCAACAGATTTTCTAATGATTGTTGCCACAATCAAAAGTTTCAACACAGTTTCTTATCTATTGTTGATTGTCAAAGTCTAACAGCTTATCAAACTCAGCCAAATGAAATTACCAAACATTTCACTACAGTTCCTTTGTTAACACTCCGGGTCAAATCATTCATTTGTGCCAAGTAGGGGTGGTGCGAATATTCCCAACCCCCGGAGCCTCCAGTTCCCATGCTAGTACACCTGGTAAGGGCTCCTCCCCTCTCGATTAATATGCATTCAATACGTGGGAAAAATCATGTCAAATGTTTTAGGGGACGAAAACAGCTGTTCCCTTGTCTTCAACCCTGTATACTTCCTTGGGCCCTTCAACCTTGCCAACCTTTGAGATTAAATGTACAATTTGTATTGTTTGTCTGTTGAAGAAGCTGGAAAGATATAAATGGGAGATCCTCTTCGTTATTCTAGTTTTTGTGAATGTAGCATATTTTTTATGATTAAATACCATAATTTAGAGGTTAACAAGTCTCTCAATCTAATTTACTTGAATCATATGAAGAGCTGCGTATAGTTTTGAAATCTTATAAGCTCCTTTAAATTTTAACGTAGGCCTAATATGAACTATAATTTAAGCATTTTAAATCAATTTAATGTTTCAAAACATGACAACTTTTAATTTTTTGCTCACGAAAACACAAAATATTAACGCAACTGTTTACAAACTATTGTAATTTCAATTCCTCTTTTGTTGACTGTGAAGAGTGTTAATTAAATGTGTTTGTTGTATTGTGTTTTTTATGTGTTTTTTCTACAATATCTTCTGTTTTGTTACAGACGCCCTCACATCTTCTAGAGAAGGTTTCTACGTCAGACACGAGGCCAGTATCATGTTGATCAGCTGATCGTCCACCCCCGCCACCCTCCACCCCCGAGAACGACTTGTAGTTCCTACCACCCCCAGCTGATAGTGTTTAAAAAACAATTGAAAAATTATGAACATTTCGTAAATATTACCAAATACTTTAGCAAAATATTTCATTTTACAAAATTTATTAGGGCCTATCCTAATTATGTTTAACAACAACAGTTGTAGATCTTGTAAATTTCGTAATTATTACTGATAGTATTAGCAAAGCATTATTATCTATTAAATTATAATATCTAAACAGTTTTTTATCATCTTAATATTGAAAAAATATGTAACAGAACAAATTTACTCTTAAGAACAATTATTTATTTATAAAGTCCTCTTAATTATATGATCTCATAGACATAAGTATTGAGATTCTTTCAAGTTTAAAAGTATGTGTATTGCTGGATAGTCCACAATTATTTAGAAGAAATCGATTTAGTTTTATTGTAAGTTAGTTGTTTTCGGGGTTAGGGTGGTCTTGATCATTCCATGTAAGACTTGTATATTTTTAGTTTGTACATTTTTGTCGTCTGTGATGTCTAGTGTATTTTGTAAAAAGCACTTTGTATTATATGTAAATGTTATATATTTGAGTTGGATTATTATATATTGAAGATTATTATTATTTTGTACATGTGGTTTACTCGCACGACTAAATAAATTACCATATTGTACAATACAACATTTGAGTTTTGTTTTGAGATCCCAAAAACTATTGGTTTATTCCATTATGTTTTTATACAATTTTATGAACAAAGACATGCATTTGTGCAATTTTTGCACAAATTTAGTAAATTTACATTCAGGATTTCACCAAATAATGAGATAATTTTATAAAATATACATTCAACAACTTGTAAATTACAATCATCTTTAAAAAAATATTATTTTGCAATGTGTATGTATTGTCAATTTTTTCATTCACAAAAATTAGGTTTAAATTCTTAATTGCTAACATTATCAACTAAAGAAATTATTTTGGAATGCATTTTGTATGTATTGTCAATTTTTTCATTGTACTTTTGAGATACATTACATCCTTTAAATTGAGGTTAATAGTGGGGGGCCACTTTATAATTCAAAACATTCAATCTTTTGTTCAATATCATCACGATATAACTTCATTTTACTCTTGTAGCTAATTTCTGGCTACGTAAAGTGTGCATATACTGAAATACATAATTTTAATAACGAATACATTATTCACACATTAAATTCAGTTTCAAAATGGTGCGAAAGAAGGAAGAACCAAGTCATCAGCTGATAAAACACCTACATTACATCAGCTGATTCATTAACATTCACAGCTGACTACCCACGTGAGACATATATTTATTAACCACCCGTGCATCTTCTAAGCTCAGCAAGATTCTAAACTTTCTCAATCAAAATGTGGTACGATAAAAGGAAGAACCAAGTCATCAGCTGATAAAACACCTACATTACATCAGCTGATTCATTAACATTCACAGCTAACTACCCACGTGATTTAGACATATGTTTATTAACCACCCGCGCCTCTTCAAAGCTCAGCCAGTTTCTAAACTTTCCCAACAATTACTATAATTGGACAGAACCTGTCTCTCACCACTTAGCCTGTAAACAGAAGAGAATAGAAAACAGATGTTATCACTTAACGCGCATTATATCTTAATTATATAGCAAACATGCAGTATTTTACTGTAATTATCTGAAGTTATAGTTGTTTTGGACGTTGCTGTGGTATTTTTTTGCACACATGTTTTACATTAATTTATACTAGAGGTCGGCCAGTGGTCGAAAACTCGACCAAAAATACGTAAATGACACACTTCTCCATTTTACCCCACACTGTAAATAAACATGTGATTGGAATTTCTTCAATTTTTTGATTTTATGTTTATATTGCGTTTTTAGTTTGTCACCAGCATGACAACCCATAAGGTCCCTGGTAATTTTTTTAAATTTAAATTTATTTTGTGTGCTTATTTTAATTTATGAAGGGATATTGCACATATTCAGGAAAATATCTTTCCAACAGTATGCGTAGATTTTCTCTGCGATGCACACAAGCTGGGAAAAAGGTTTTAAAGAAACATGATTGCCTATTAATATATAGATTGGTACAAAGGTTAATCCAAAACACTGTTATAAAATGCTGTGTAGATCAAATATTATGTTTTATGTCAACAAAAATAATTTATTCACTCATCATCAGTCTAACATGGACCAGTGTACCTCTTAAACTTATTTACACTCTTACAAAGATTTCTGTTGCGTCAATTTGTAAGTGGTCTTCAAACACACCACTTTAAAGAAAAAAAACTGTATATACAAACAATTGATAGTACAAATAAAATAAATTAGAATTTGTTTAACACTGCTTGGTTTAGCAACTGTATCCATCAGAAATTGTTAACTGGTTGAGTAAAACATGAAATTGACTGAAGAAGAAATTATCATTCATTAAGTTTAACAAGTCACAGCATATACTTAGAAGAGTCAAATCACAGTCTGTGTGTGTGTTTGTGTGTGTGAGTGTGTGAGTGAGAGGCGGGAGATAAAAGTAAGTTGTTTGTCTTCTGACGTCACCTGAACACCTGCAGCTGACGTCACTAGCCTTGACTCAAAACCACCAAAACACGACTTTAGGATTGTCCACTTTCCTGGCTTTGTTTTGTGGGCGAAATGATTTGGACACCTGCACCTGCGACTGAGTCAAGCTTGTTTAGCTCATTATGGGGCCCATTTGCTGAGTTACAGCACAAATACCCGGCAAACGAGTTTTGGGAGTGGACTTTGAATCTAGTTGACTGAGAATGTCTGTTAGGACAATTCATTCATGGAGATTTTAAGTGAATCATGAACTAAAAACTTTACTTATTCTATTATTATTCTCCATAAGGGTAGGCCTAATATGGGAATTTATAATTTACAATTTTTGGAATTTTCCCCGTTACCATTAGGCGCATAACAACGCTTCAATATACTAAATTATTTGTTTTTTTAAGCTCTACAAAATGGCTTGTAAAGAAATTTTATATTTTATTGAATTGAAAAATGTTATGTTTTTGTCAAAAATGGGAAAACCAATTTTTACCTCATAAACCCACGTTTCCATAGTCCGATCATCTAAATCGGATCATTTTTGCTCGAGTTATCGTGCTAACGGACATATATATATGAATTTGAACGGATGGTGTTTTGGCCTCTAGGGACCTCAAAACGAACAAGTAAATCAGTCCCGGGTCAAGGTCTTACCATGAGTAGGCCCTACTATGGTAATAGCTTATTCCCGATATGGGAAATTCGCTAAAAACAACTTGGATATTTTAAGACTATTGGCTGTACCATACTTATGCCATACTAACGTACTTCAAGCAATATGGCATATATTGAAAACATTTTCAGACTGAAGCTATATTTAATATTTAACACTGCTGATAATTTAATGAAATTACAAACTAGACAATAGATTTGGACATTGGACCTCCCTACTGTTTTTGGAGCAGCTATAATTGTATTACAAAGGGATATGAAGGAACATTTCTAAAGCTAAACAAGTTTTCTATCATAGATTATTTGTTTGTTCAAAGGAAAAGAAATTCTGTGGAGTAATATACAGGGTTAGTAAAAAGTGTGGAGACCCCCTGTTGATTTTTTAACGGCCCATACTAGAAAAACTAAACTCAGCACACCTTTATGGCATGTTATGAAGTACTTTTTGGGCATGACCGCCACTTGGTGTACATTCCCAAAATGGGGGATTTTGGGGAAAACTCAAAATTTTCAAACGGTAAGACCTGTTGAGTGACCCCTCCTTTTGAAGGTCCTGGTAAAAGAAAACCAACAACGCAAATTAGAGGTCTTTATCTCAATCCAGCAAAAAATGACAGCCAATTGAAATTCTCAGAAGTTGAATTTAACTTGCAGCTTTCCAAGTCTGGAGACCCCCTGTAAATTTTGTAGCGGCTCACACTAGGAAAACTAAACTCTACACACCTTTTTGGCATGTTTTGAAGTACTTTTTAAGCCTAATAGCCACTTGCTTACCAAACCCAAAATGGGGGATTTTGGGGAAAACTCAAAAGTTTTAAAGATAAGCCCCATCAAGTGACCCCTCATTTTGAAGGTCCTGGTAAAAGAAAACTAACAACGCAAACTAGAGGTTTCTATCTCAATCCAGTAAAAAATGAAAGCTGATTGAAATCTTTAGAAATCGGAAATAACTTGCAATTTTATATTCAATTGGCTGCCATATTTTACTGTGTTAAGATAGAGACCTATAGTTTGCGTTGTTAGTTTTCTTTTATTATGACCTTCAAAATGAGGGGTCACTCGATGGGGCTTATCATTTAAAACTTTTGAGTTTCCCCCAAAATCCCCCATTTTGGGTTTGGGAACTTATGAGAATTTCAATTGGCTGCCATTTTGTACTGAGATGAGATATAGACCTCTAGTTTGCGTTGTTGGTTTTCTTTTACCAGGACCTTCAAAATGAGGGGTCACTCGATGGGTCTTTGTATTTGAAATTTTTTATTTTCCCCCAAAATCCCCCATTTTGGGGATGAACACCAAGTGGCGGTTGTGCCCAAAAAGTACTTAATAACATGCCATAATGGTGTGCCGAGTTTAGTTTTTCTAGTATTGGCCGTTAAAAAAATAACAGGGGGTCTCCACACTTTTTACTAACCCTGTATAAAAGTTATACAGACTGTCCCAAAAGTCCCGGACCGGTTTTATATTTTCTAAACGACAACAGATAAATCAATAAGATTTGGTACATCAACACCACACCTAAAAATCTACTTTTTTAAGGAAATATCAATTTTTTGTCATATGATGGGGACGTCCCGCAAGGAGTCAGACGGAAATCTTAAATAGAAGCATATGTTGACATGTACATCAAGTTAAAGACCTTTACTAGCAGAATACAATGCCGCAAATTTGAACTCAAACGGACAACCGAGCCAAGAATGACAGTGGTTCAAAGATTCATTTAATTTACATTGCTATTATACGCTTACTCCTCAGGGGGCATCCCTAGGAGTCGGAAGAAAATTTTTAACGTAAGCATAGGTCGATATGCACATCAAATTAAAGGTCTTTACTAGTATATTACAATGCCGTAAATTCAAGCTCAAAAGAATGCCTGAGTAAAAAATGGCAGTCGTTCAAAGATTAAAAATGGCAGATTCAAGAAATCTTTGAACGGCTGCCATTTTTTACTCAGTAATCCGTTTGAGTTCAAATTTGCGGCATTATATTCTGCTAGTAAAGGTCTTTAATTTGATGTACATGTCAACCTATGCTTCTATTTAAGATTTCCTTCTGACTCCTTGCGGGACGTCCCCATGATATGACAAAAAATTGATATTTCCTTAAAAAAGTAGATTTTTAGGTGTGGTGTTGATGTACCAAATCTTATTGATTTATCTTTTGTCGTTTAGAAAATATGAAACCGGTCCGGGACTTTTGGGACAGTCTGTATAATAAACTGTCACCAAACTGACATACGTTCTCCCATTAGCTTAAAACAACCCTTTTAACATGGGTAAGCGGTGGAAGTAACTATGATAAGTTATGGGTAAAATCATAAACATTGCTCGTAATTTATACAGCATTGGGTGTTGTACCATTTTCTTTACAGTTTAAAGGAACATACAGGGTGGCTGAAAAGTAACTTGCACCCCCCCCCCCTTA